TTAATATTTAAGTAATTGTAAAGAATAACGTCATTCATTCATTCATTCATTCATATCAAATGGCAGGCGTTTTGATAGTTATCNGACAGACAGGCAGGAGAAAAGGCAGAGAAAATGTTAGGTGAGCACAGTGGACGAAGTCGAATATGACATACAGTGGGGTCATGGTAGTTTGAAGGATGTCGAATATGACATACAGTGGGGTGATGGTAGTTTGAAGTTTCGAATATGACATACAGTGGGGTGATGGTAGTTTGAAGTGGAAGTAGACGAATATGACATACAGTGGGGTGATGGTAGTTTGAAGTCAACTGCCGGTTAATAGATTTTTTGCCGTATGGAAGTGATAAGTCAACTGCCGGTTAATAGACTTTTTTGCCGTATGAGTGGGTTGCCCAGGGTGCACCGCGTGGAGGTAAGTCTATCGCAACAACTGCCGGTTAATAGACTTTTTTGCCGTATGAGTATACGGTGCCCAGGGTGCACCACGTGGAGGTAAGTCTACCGCACAGGCCCAGGGTGCACCACGTGGAGGTAAGTCTTCGCACACCTTTCCAGGGTGCACCACGTGGAGGTAAGTCTATCGCACACCCACTTGGCTCTCCCCTCAAATTTCAACCCTACACGGATGGGCTTAAAGAATAGCGTACAGACGAGGCAAAAGAGAACGGGATGGCATAAAAGCCGATGACCTCTGTCATAATGAATTTCACTCGCCCAGTGATTAGGTGTGCTCTTTATCTATTTACTTTCTTTAAGCACTTACGTTGCTCATTCCAGTATGGAAGAATGTATCTTTATTACCTGAGGAGTTGTATTTTCCTAGAGTTTTATTGACTTTTTGAGGTCTTCAGTGTCTTCAACAAACAGCCACTTATTCTGTCAGTCTAAGATCATACTCGCTTACTGCTTGCTTAAGTTGATCCCAACTGACAAATATGCTTACATAAAGATGCCTAGTAGGTAGGTTTTATTGATTATGGGCGCCGTATTAATTCATTGGGACCAAGCAGCACTTTTGTTATATGCCCAATTCTATGCTTTTGGATTATACACAGTGCTTGAATATTCAAATGAACTTCTGCAAGAGTTCATATCAATAAATTGTGTAGTTATTCGTGGAAATTTTGAACTATCTCACATCAATTCTTGCTTCAGAGTAACTTCTTGTGTGGGTGTATGACAGATTGTGGTTCGCTTGATCATTGGCATCCCTGTTCGGTCTAACATCGTTTTCTGTTCTTTTTTTCCTCCATTCAGACAACGACTACATGTCATCTGAAGCTGTGGTCATTACAATTCTAGTGAAGAATGCAGTGGATAACAAGTCACCGGCAGTTCTTATGGCTCAAGCTTGGGAGAGCGAATTCATAAAGACAGTCCTCAAATGGCGATCTGAACACCCTGAGATTATCGTTAGCTTTGCTGCTGAGGTACGTTAATAAAATGTAGAAGTGGGGTGGTACATTATCGATACCTCGAGCATTATCAACAGTGGAATATGAGGAGAGGTTGGGAATGTACTCAAGGGCTTGTCTGAATTGCCCTTTTGGTCTACAAAGATCTAATTCGTACAGGAATATGAGCGGCTTTTGGGAATAGAGGAAGCATCCGGTTATATTCAGATAGCCGCGTCTTATTGCCGATAAAAGGACTAGAAATTTCTGAAAGTTGGTTTCTTTAAATATTCTTTATTAGCAAGTGATCGACAAATTCCTCAATAATAATTCGGATATTGTAATGTGTGATAGTGAGGTTTTACATTTTCAATATATATATATATATATATATATATATATATTTATTTATTTATTTATTTAAAGTGACATTTCTTTGCATTTGAAATCCCTAATCGTTGGGTACTACCTCCACCATCTGATGAGTTATACATATATGTCCCAAATTACTTAGATACCAGTTTAAGGCAGAGCAAATTGACCCTTAGAATTCATTCCCCCCTCCCCCCTGCCTGCCTGCTTCTTGGTTACGTTTTATTCAAAATTAATTGTTTTGCGTTGGTTGGGCGGAACCACTAGCAGTCGTTTTTAACAGAAATATTTAATTGAAACTAACTAGTGGTTATTAATCAACTTTGCAAATGAATTCCTTCAAGTTGTGTTTCATTTCTTTGACCAAGCCTTAAAGTGGGAAAAATTGTGGAGGAGATGCATAAATTCTGCAGCTCTTAATACGAGGGGATATCGCTACTATGCATATTGCATATTTATTCCCATTGTACAAATTCCTGAGTTTTAACTGCGAAAGCTTATTTCCGCATCTATTTGCAATTCACGTGGAACAATTCCGAGAGAACACGTTTCGGCGAGATCAAGTCTTTGTCAAATTAAAATTGTAGCTGACAGAAGGGAAAGATTAAAGTTCGCTACATCTAGAAACCAGGTGTATGTTAATGAGAATATGTTTGAAGGCGAAATTACCTTCGATTGAGATGCTTCCAATCTGTCACCTCATCTATAAATCGGGTATTTCCTTTCATTGGAAACACATCAATGGTTATTGAATCCATTTACTCAGTGAATTGCCTAAAGTGTGGTATTAATCACTGCGTTCCAATCAAGGTTGAACGAAAACTAGAACCTCCTTGCCAAATGCGACAGTTTTCCCTATATTCTCAGGTTCTACAATTACCCTCCTGCCTAAATCTCCCGACCAATAAGCACACTCCTTCTTATGACATTTCAACATCTGCTTATTAACAAATTTAAGTGCTCTGAATAGTCTACAGTAGAAGGTCTACAATTCCTTGCGATGAATTTAGGATTTATGGGTTGCCATAACCAAATGGCATTGTGGGTGTGTTGTGTAGCAATTTCGCATTGCATTGTCCGTCTTTTGCGTTGCCAAGTCCTTGCTTCATTTGCTTGTGCAAATGTTCGCGCTTGAATATATGTATACATATACGTATGTGTGTGTGCAGCAATAAGCTGGTACTTTGGCTTAGCAAAACTCGGGTCTTGCAAGCCATCTAGGCAGCCACAAGTATCTATATATGTGTTGTGTGTGTTCCTCTCTCCCTAAGGTCCTAGTTCTTTTCCCTCTAAAACGCCCACTTCCCTACCAAGGGATTATTTAAAATCTTCAGTTTCCATCTACTTGGGGGCTAAGATTCATCTTGAGGTAATCTTCTTTTGTAAACTCGCGCTCACTTAACTTATTGGATCAGCACTTTCTCATTACTCATATTGCTCAATTCATTGTTCGAACCAACTCCTCTGCTTATCTTATAGCGCTCAGTTGAGGATGAAATTGTTCGCCAGTCACATTCGGATATTTCAACTATTGTCATCAGTTACACCATCATGGTTATCTACGTCAGTATTTGTCTTGGCAACTATCGGTCTATGCGAACATTTTTGGTAAGTCCCATTTATTTTTTAACGGATTTAGGCTTCGATTTCCCTACCTTCCATATTTTGCCTTGATTGCCTGTTACTGGTTCTAATCATTCATCCATACCCGAACTTGTAAAAGCAAAGGTGAGGTGAGAAGATTTGTGATAAGGGTGGTCACCAATGCCTTAAATCACAATGACCGGGGTCGTGTCCAGGCTAGATGTGGTAAAAATACCTATGAGTTGATTGGCACTTAGGGCCAGTGTGCCTGTGTTAGTCATGTCATTAGTCACCATCTGCAGTCACTAGAGCTGCATACCCGTTGCTTAGACTGTTCCATCACATCAAGAACACAACTAATTTAAAATTAGGCGCTCCTAATTACAATGCACGAATGCCGTCTGCCATTTAATTGAGCTCGCTTTTTGAACGCTTCTCAAAATGTTTCTTTGAATGACCAATCTTCAAGAAGTATACTTGATTGTCACTGATGTTTTCAGAATTATTTGGTGGCAAAGAAAAGGCATATTTTGTAAATTCCTCATCATCTTTAATTTCCCCCACCTCCACCCCCACTTTCCCTTTCCATCTTTGTTAAAGTAATTAATTTAAATACACTTTTGCATCTTTTCAAGGTGCTTTGCTAAGGGTTATGCCAGTGGGACAAAATGTCAAAATCATACAATTTCCTGGGTTGCTTTTTTTCATTTTCCATTGTTCCTCTTCGTGCTTCTCCTTTGCCTTATTTTTGCAATATATTCTAGCGAAAAAAGGGTACAACTCCTTTGAATTCTGAAATAGTCACTCATTACCTATTGTTGGAGTCAAAATTCGGTATTTTATCATGAGGAGGCAGATATGTACCCACCTTTCTCGCCTTTACCCTGACTTCAAAGGAGAGAGGGAGAGGAGGTAGATGTGAGATACTTCTGGGGATATAGTTTCGTTTCAATTAGCCAGAGAAAATTATTCCAATCAATGTCATTATTGGTTTTGCATGTCCGATGATTAGACCAATCTCATTGAATGAGGATTAATTTAGTTCTTGTCATGATCCGCCATGATGATGTCGTGGGTAACTCCTTATCGCACTTGTGTTCGACAAGTTACTACTTCGCTTTCCCATTTAGTCTATGTTTGCTAATTTTGGAATATAGGTTTATCGGGGGCATCAGAATTTAGTATTCAAAGTGGTCACCTTATTTACAACCGGCATGCCCACAGCATTCCATTTCTAGCTTAGAGCCTCGCACTGATGAAGACGGATAAACTGTGAGTCCCAGGAGAGACCAGACGAATCAGTTCGGAGATGAGATGGTAACACAGCATATAGAATTACTTTCAATACTGTGTCCCCTAGGAGGACAAAGGGGATTGAATAGTGGCGAAACATGTTCTTTGACTGTGGAATGAAATGGAAAAGGGAAATTCAAAGGATTGATACTACTGAGGTAAATTATGGACGCAGGAAATCAGACTGAAAGATTAGTAATTTTCTACCTAATGCTTCTTTCGTTATACCCTCAATATTCGCCATACATTCTCAAAGAATTTGCCAATTTAACCGAAATACATGCCTTTGAAACTAACGCAGCGTTCACTGGAATTATGAACGATGAACGTTTTTTTTTTCTCCCATCCTTCTAGCTCGATTTGAAAATCTCATTAAGTGTCGGTGGCGTGTCAATTGTCTTGGCTTCTGTTTTCTCTTCCATTGGCCTCTGGTCTTTCGTCGGGGTGCCAGCTACCCTAATCATCATCGAGGTGATTCCCTTCCTTGTTCTAGCTGTCGGTGTCGACAACATCTTCATCATGGTGCAGGACTTTATTGTGCACGAACAGGAGGAGGGAGTTGAGGAGTTGGATAATGATTATGCTGAGGAGGACGATGATCAGGTTTGCTTATAACCCACCGTTTTCCCCTTAAGTAAACCACAATTTATTAAACGACAATGTGAGTAATAAACCTTAGCCATAATTAAAGACGACGTGGTCTATAAAATTCGAGATTTATTTCCATTCTGTACAATTTCTCAACTCACTCACTTATCTGCAAGTTCTTATCACTTTAAAATGTATTTCTATTAATGTTATTAGTATTTTGATAAGGCCAAATATGTTTAAATTTTGTATCGTGGGAAGGCAATTAAAACTAGGACAACTCTAAACCCCGTTAGGTGGTAAAGAGAAGGAGATCGATAATAATTTGAGCATAAAGTCAGGATTTTCGGATTCAAGTTCTTGGGCTTGAAAACTTTCATAGAGTTGGAATATCAGTTGCCATAATCTCCCTCAACTCAATGGTTATAATCCTATAAGTAGTTACCTAACTGGTCTTACTTGATGGAAACACACGTATTTTGTGTATTTATTAGACAATGATATTTAAAGTTTTATTTTCTACTAACGTGGCATTTAGTTGATCATATCTGTAATTCGTCTTGACTGGGCTTAAGTGCTGAAGAAGGTGATATTGTCGTGGTCGAGTAGCTAAAGTCCAATTGACTGGTTTTACCAATCTCTTTCTTTGCCACTTGACCTCAATTTCACACTTGGAAAAATGAGATTTCCTAAAATCGTCATTTCTTTGGAAGACAAATATTCGCGAAAATATATTCCATCTTTGTTCAGCTCATTCAAACTTTCTCCCTGCTTCTTTATTTATCGCAAAATTTTGTATTTAAATACCTTTAAAGAGGATAGACGAGATTTCGGGAAATTTTTTATTGGTGTAATTTGAGATAATGAGGGCCTTTGAGACGCAATAATTAGGAGGAAGTCAATGCGAATAAAATGGGGTTCAATAAATATCTGCTGGTTGACAGTCTATGGCCATGCCAACTAAATTCTAACTTGAGACGCTTATTTGTCTTTTTTCTTTTAAGCATGAAGACGGAGCCGACGACGATGCCGATGCTATTGACGATGCCGAAGTAGCAAGATCGGGACCCTGCATGAGTGGGAGTTGTGTGGGTGGCAAGGCTAGAACTCAACGTCGACGAAAAAAACAGGGTAACAAAAAGGAGTACACTACTGTTGAAGCAAGAATCGCCAGGACTATGGGACGAGTTGGTCCCTCTATGTTTCTTTCCAGTTTGGCGGAATCTGTGGCTTTCTTCTGTGGTACGCAATTGTTCTTTTGCAGCCTAAAGTATCTAAAGCATGCCCACTCTACCACGAATATCGCAATTAGAAGTACTTATTAGGGAAAAAACAAACGTTGGGCATAGTAAAAAAGTGTGCAATGTGCGATTCAATGTTGAAAATTTATGGAAAGTTGGTTTGATGCATAGTCGATGAGATGCTCTGTATATATATATATCACATTTACCTGTGGAAAGATATAGGACAATTAAACAGAGAAGAACTACGCTTTTTCAAGTTGATGACAGAAAGAAATTGAGATGTAGCCATTTAGTCATCGTTATTGTGCAAAAATAAAAGAGGCGCCAACATGTTTAAATTGCAATTGTGTGTGTGGGTGTGGAGTGGGGGTGGAGGGGGGGNGGGGGGGGGGGGGGGGGGGGGGGGGGGGGGGGGGGGGGGGACACTTTAAAACAAGAATGGAGAAGAATGAGGCTTTGCTTGTGAACAGTAAGATGCTTTTTATCAAATAAATGTCTATCAATGCTTATTTATAGAAAACTGGAACTTTCTTCATTTTCTATGCCTACCTCTTATTCATTATATTGAAAACTTTTTGATTTCGCGCCGATAGGCTTCGAACCCACGTCATTAAGAAGTACACGTTAATGCATTATCTATTCTCCAGCGGTACGCGGTAATTAATGCTATTTTCTTCGAGTTAGTAATTTCTCATGGAACAAAAAGTTTCAAACGGGGTTGCTCAGGTTTCTTACATTGGAACATGGATACTTATTGCTATTGTGACCCACTTTACAGTCCCATAATTTACGCTCTTGATCATATTGAAGTTGGTAAACTTGGAGAGTAGTCACGTGATTGAACTGAAAGGATCTAGTAGAAATAGAGAACACAAGGATGTCGAAGAACCCTGCTTTGCTTATGTTTGAGAATCTTTGAGGTGTCTAATCGTTATTTAGTAGTTTTGGTTTGGATCACTAAAATTCTTATCCTCTGGGTTGATTTGCCTGTAGGTTGAAAACAAGAAGCTGATCATGCCATTTCAATAGCCAATGTAAATAGGGTACATTTAATATAACAGAGTTAAATGAAGTTAGATCCTCATATACCTGCTTATTATCTGTGAATAAAAGATGAGTTTATTTTATTCAAAGGCTAAACTATTCAAATATGCAATTGGAGGAGAGTTGAGGCGGTTTGATCTTTAAGATTTTCGAAAAATGTTTTTTTTATTGGCAAAAGATCTTCTAAAGTATCGTACATCGAATCTAGCGTCAGCATTGAGAATGGTATTATGATTTTGGGACGGCTTAATTACCCTGGTCAATTCTAAGGCTTAAGATAATAGAAATTTAGGAACTGAGATTTCTTCCTGGTCATTGCGCGTGATAAAACATCGCTTATATTTCCGCATACTCTTGCGCGAAAGTGATATCTTGGACTTCACTATTTTCACTCGAGTCTTCTTGAGGTAGGCTGTTTTTTTTGACACGAGTGATTATCTTTTGGCGTCTTTATTAAGTTGCCTTTGGCTTGAAGTCAAATAAGTTTTCCACTTCTAGTTCCCCTGTGATTTCATCTAATTAGTTAGTTCTTATGGAAGCTGCTTCTTGTTAGTTTACGCGCTCCCCGCTAATAACTGACCCATTTTACTGCCAATTTCTCCCTCCTAAATTCATTTGTATGGGAATGTGCATTGTGTGTGTGTGTGTGTGTGTGTGTAGAAGCTTATAATTTTGTTACATTGTGAACGGCCTTGAGAATCAAAATCGCACCACTTGCACAAATTTAAGCCACTGTAACGTGTTTCAATTGCGCCATTTCGAAATGTATTCGAATTATTGCAGTTATTGTTTGCTTGAAACAAGGCTGCTGTTTCTTTAATCACGTTCATTTATATTGCACTCACACTTTAGCGTGATTAATGCATAGGAAATAGGCTGAAAATTCTTCCTTGACTTTATTATTTTATTATCCGGTATAGGATACGATCACATATGTCACCTTAACGTCGAACTCCTCGGTCCTTTTGATCCGTTCAGGTTATTAGGAGAAGAAAGACGAGACTGTTGGATCGAGAATGTAAAATCAAATCATTTCATGCTTTCTTCAAACGTAGCAAAACTGCATAGGATTTGGGAATTTGGTTGAATGTCAATGTGTTTGGACAACATCAAATTTATTGAACATTATCTCTGCCTGACCTACACTCGCTTAGTTAATTTAGGAGATTAGGGAAACTACATGCTGGGGATTAATTAGTACATCCAAAAGTAGGGGGGAATTGATGCCGAGCTATGAAAGCTGAGTATTGAGAATGCAGTGCTTTCAAGCGACTGTCTACGATTCTGAAGGAAAAGAGAAAAGAAATTTTTCTAACCACGCCTTTTGTCTAGAAATTGGTGTTATTTCCTGAAATGCGGGCTTATGTTAATTCAATTTAAAAGGCCTATTTGACTTTTTTTAACAAGGGAATTTAATGCCAAGCTTATGTCAATTAAAAAAATGGTATGAAACAGTCTGCTATGTTAGGACTGAAATTTTTGCATATCAACATTATTTTCTTTTCTTAAATTTATTCCGAATCTGGATAAACAAAAGTTTCATGGGTATGGACCTTGCGAGTTTTGCAAACACCTAATGTCCCCATTGGGTAAATATTATTTTTTATACTGTTGGACGAAAAAGCTGCATCTATGTCTCTCTCTTTGAAAAATTCACCTAGATTGGCATTAAGCTGCGGTGAGTGATGTGGCTACTGGTAAAATAAGTGAGATTTCGCGTCAAGTCTTCATAACCAAGGCAGCAGCAGATAATATCAAAAATCTTGCTAATTTCACTCCTTGATAGTTTTCGGTTTATCTTCATAACAATGCGAAAAAGTGGCAGATTTCCATCACGGGAAGATATTTGACCAAGTTGAGGTTGAAAAGAAAGTGATCCAACAGTGGATGCAATGTGATAGGAATGAAACATGAGAGTGGACAATAGAGTCAAGATATCACGAGTCTTATTTTTCTGGAGTTTTGAAAGTATTGAGTTGCGGGATATAATTTCGAATTGTAGTGTCCATTTCCTCTCAAGTTCAATCTTAGGTAACTTGATCACATTAGTTCCTGTTTGAACTAATGTCGATGCCTTTCAGTTTATTGTCCCCTTAAAATCAAAATTTGGAGCTAACGAAAACCTATAGGCTCGTTTTTCAAATCAATGAACGACCTTTTGAACCGAAGTATCGATAAAGGAAATTAGTTTGGCGTAAGAAGTTGTAAAACAAATTCATCTTCCAGACTGCTCGGGGTGTCTTTAGTTATTGGAGCTTTTAATTGATTTTAAAATTCTATCCAAAAAATCCACTAAGATTATTGCCAGTACAACCTAGTCTTTAGTAAATATTTTCCTACGTAAACATTTCTTTTTTATGCTTACAATTTGAATTGTTTGTACGAGCATCTAGCCTCATTCTGGGACAGCTTTGCAAAACGGCAGGTGTCGCACAAATCTCGCGACAGTCATGCGTGCGCGTCTAGTGGAGCTTTGTTGGGATGTAGCACAAATTAGCAATTCAGGAGGGGGAGGGGGGATGGGTAAATGACGCGATTGTGGCCCGATTGCTTCAAGGTCGATGCAGAGTTGTGGACAGAGCTACATGTTTGAGCCCCTCTTTCTCTATTCCTTATAGGTGCCATGACTGATATGCCTGCTGTTCGCGTATTCGCTCTCTATGCTGGTGTTGCTATTGTCATTAATTTCCTTCTGCAGATCTTCGCGTTCACAGCTCTTCTCACTCTTGATGCTAAGCGAATGGAGGTAAGTCCTGCCTAATTCATCTCATCGTCACTTCGATCATCAATTGGATCACCTATAGATCACCCACCTCAAGTTGATGAGCTCCTACTCTATAAGAGTTTACGTCATTTCGCTTTAAAATCTCGCACTATATTAAAAACTTAAAATTGCTGGTAGATTAAGTTTATGTGACTTGGTTGGTCGCATTTCTGGTTTTTTGCCACTAAAATTGATGAATTAAATTACAGGTAATATGCAAGTACTTTCGGTTAAGTCTGTATTAAATGTGTAATTCGTGACAAACCTATGATATGGATATTCATAGGAACGAATTACTTTAAAGTGTCAAGCTATTTTAACTGTTTTTTTAATAATTTTTTTAACTATTTTAAAAATTAAGAGTTTACCTTATTTGTGCGGTGGAGATGGAAATTGGGAGTCTGCATTACTTTTTGAACAAAAGTAGCGGAATTGGATGCCACCAATAGGAGACTTAAAAACTGCGACATCAAAACAGAATACCTCCAGAATGTCTCCTTTCTAAACAGAATGATTATTTGACTGCATATTTTCACAATGGATCGAAAAATAAAAGTTAGAAAAAAATTTACTAAGCCAACACCTATTTGAGTGCCATCCTCAACAGAGATTTTTTATTGAGTTTAATGTTGTTTTAATCTTCTGGATTAGATTAACCATATCCATTTTATTAAAGAGCCTCTAAAATACCATTTCAACCTAGTCGGAAAGTGCCAATATGTACCTTCCTGCTTGAGCTGTGCAAGGGACAAGACGAAATCCCAAACTTCGTGGAACTATTTCCACCGTGCTCTCGAATTTTGAGATATTAAATTTATTTATGTGGCTGTCTAATTAAAATTCATGCGGACTTTGTGTATATTTCATTTGATTATTCGCAATTTATTTCTTATTTGTATGGTTATTAGTGGTAGTTTTATCATCGAAGCTATGATGTTAGAGGAGGTTGTGCGAATTACCTAATGAAGCGCCTATTTCTCACGTCCTTTTTGACAAATGTTGCCCGCGCAATCGGTGCGCGCGTGTCCGTTGTCCTATGGGCAAAGCTGAAGCAGTTGACATAATACCCTTCTTTTTGTTTTGTTTTCACCCATGCGCTTCCATTTCCTGAGCAGTAAGTACGCCTTAACGGATCGAAAGTAATCTCAGTTTCATATTTAATCCGGAGAAGTCACTTTGGCCAATCATACTTTAGCTCCTCGGCTCTTTTGGGTAGTATTCTTGAGTAGGAAGCCAGCATCACGGAGTTATCTTCCCCCCCTCCCCTCCCTACTTGTTAGCCACCCTAAACAAATGTGACTAATCTGTTCAATCACTGATTGCTTCATTAATATTCATAGTGGAATATCTTGCCGACAAAGCGATACATATTGTAAGGGTGATATGGTCTATCAGAGCATGAAGGATAAAAGTGAAGTTAAGGGAAATCAAGAGATGGGGGAGGAAGCCACCGTCTTTCCACATTGACACTTCCAACTAAAACAGTTTGCAGTCCGCCTTGGCTATACCTCATGTTCTAACGCCTCATTCTGGTCTACATGCTGACTGATGTGGTTGCTAGTTGAGCCTACTTCCAATCATCAGTAGCAACGTGTTTTTGGATTCCACTTACGATCTCATGGTCTGTGACTTCACTGCATTTCACGTTGACCATTGCTTCATTGGCAAATCTAATACTAGCACATTTAAACCTATCCACTTTCTCATCGAGTAGTGAATACGCAAAATTAATCTCTTTTTTTCCTCCCTTCAATAAAACGCGAATCCATGGGTAAAGCCAGCTGTCGCTTTAACTATGAAATAATCAAAATGTCTTATTTTTCCTATTCCTTATTCATCCATACTTTTTTTCAAGCCTACATGCTAAAATTATTGTTGTGGTGTCATCCTAGTTAAAAACGTCTTCCAAAACGGCACTTCATTGACTTTTTTTACCTTCGTTTGGAAAAAGACTATTTCCATGTAACTGGCCTGAATAACAAATTGAAGTATCTAGTTATTGCTAAAATGGAAAATTAAACGGAAATGGCTGTTGAATTGCATTTCTATACGTTCCGAAACCTCTAGGCCACACATCATGTATGGCTCACATATCTCGGGTGGAGAGTGTTAGAGAGGTAAATTTTTGGTCGCTGAATGGAATTTCAGTAGTTTCACAACCAGGTCCTACTATCTTGTTAGTGCCATATGATTCCGAGAATAGTAACCAGAGCTGTTGATGACGCACTAATACAGATGCAATGTGTTTGCCCCACATGTGCACGTGGCGTACGATTTCATATTAACTGAGAGAGGACTCTCAGAATTTAAAATGAGAGTCAACGTGTAAGCGCAATTGAGATGATCCAGGTGAGTGACAGTAGAAGCGTGTCTCAACGCTGTCTTCTTGAGATATTGCGAGTGTGCAGGCTACTATTCACATTGCTCTCCGATTTATTTGCAATTTTAAGTAAATAGCGGCGCATAGCTTTATGCGTACTTATTCAGCTAGATTGTTGGTTTAACCTCAATCATGCTAATTAATTGAATAATTGGCATAAAAAAATAAGTCAATTAAGCAGTAAACCATTTGTAATTATATTTGTAGTAGGAAAGTAGTTGGAGGTTGGCGGGGTGGGGGGGGGGGGATTTGAAAGTATGAACGTAATTAGGTGTTGCCAATCAGTTTACTGGAAATCAAATCCTTCCAAAAAAGGAATTTATGGAGTGTGATTTCTTAAAAGAACGGTTCTAGTGTATCTGCCCTCTATCCATAACAGGTATTGAGAGGTTTCAATACTTGAAGCTGTTATTGATATAGATACAGTAATTGGGTGGAAGGTCTTCGTTCTTGAAGAGAGGGAAAACTTATGAGAGACGACGTTAAAAGCTAAAATTTCTGCCTTCATGTAGATTAAACATCGCGGCAAATTTGTGCCTTCTTAATGACTTGTACCAGCTGTTATTTTATGTTAAGGTAATAACTCCCCCTATACAGGTTTTTCCCATGCCAGAATCATAACGCTCTCAAAAGTGACGTCAGCTTCGCATGCTTCTAGATGTCCTCCTGCATAATTTATCCACTTTCTTCTAATCGATGTATTTATTTTTTCCTGAAAGATTGTCCAAATGGAAACTCTCAATGTAGATTTGAAGGCGTTTATGCTTTCACAAAATGGTAAAATTATCCTCGAATGGAGTGAAATGTGGAAATTAGGTTTTCGGCTGCAGATGCCGAAGGCTCATCACATAGATACTTGGCCTGATCGATATCATGACTATCACCTTGCTGAACTAGATAATTTAAATAATTTTCACTATATCTCGAGTTAGTTATTCCATAAACAATGTTAAGTAATTACTTAATATACTCATCTTTCATTGACCATCTATTAAAAAATGATTTATTTGACCTTCCAATGATTTATCTGAATGAAAAAAGCATACCTTACACGCGATATCGCGTGAATTATTGTCCTTTTCTCTCTATTCATTCCTTGTTTTTTTTTCACTGTTCTTCCATCTGTTGTTTATCTGTAAAACGCATTTATTTACCCAGAAGTAGTGGCTGCAACTCATGTCAGGTATGACAACCTAGTTGATTGATACACGAAGTTTAATTAGAATCCAATATCTTGAAACAAAATTTCGTGTTTCTTTTTACTCGAAATTCATGTTTAAATGGAAACAATTTCCGCTGCCTTGAGGTCTTATTTTAGCACTAAGGAGACTGCCTGTAATGTTCTCTTGAGATAATTTATTTATCCGTTTATATCAAATAGCAGGCTTTATGGTAGTTATCATTAGCCCTTTAGTTGACTTCGGGCTTCACAGGACAGCTATCATTAGCCATTTAGCTGACTTCGGGCTTCACAGAAGGTAGGAGCATTAAAGTGCGAAGAAATGATAGGGAGGAAAGAAGAGCGATTCACCTATCATTAGCCCTTTAGTTGACTTCGGGCTTCACAGAGGTGATGAACAGACAAAAATCACAAAATGTGTAGGGGGGGGGGAGGGGAATGGGAGAGTGATCCACAAATGCAAAAGAGACAGACACAAAGGTTGAGAAAAAGAGAGGTGAGTACTGTGGAAGCGGTTGGATATGACATACAGTCGGGTCATGGTAGCTTGAAGTCAGAAATCAACGGCCGGTTTATATACTTTTTTGCCATATGAGTTTACGTTGCCCAGTGTGTATCACGTAGAGGTAAGTCTATCGCGCACCCCCTACTTTTGAAATAATAAGTTGCTTTAAAGATGTACTAGTGTTTTTACTCCTCTTTATCACCAAAAATGGGTTCGAAGGTCTACTTTGACTCCTTCGATATTGTTAGATAGGTTGTATTCGATCTTTTATTTGGGCTAATATCGATGGCAGAATGTGTCTAGCCCTCAGATGTTCACAGGGTGGTAAAGTGGTTAACTCGGCTCACCTGTCTAGTCAAGGGTTAAGATGTGAATGTTCATCACTAATTTACGCCGGGTAGTGGAGTTTGAGCCCCGCAACAAAGTCTTTCCAGGGTATCTTCCCTTTACCTAAGTCATGCGCTGCCAACATTAACCTCGATAGTCTTTAGTGTGTTTTATTAGAGCTAAAATTATATATTTGGCGTAAAGAGTACATGATGAATCCTTTTGTTTATGTATTGTCGATTTTCGGAATTTAAAATGGTAAAAACTAATTTAAACTTTTTGTCAATACTGTTTTACTTGATTTAATGTAAGTATAAAGGCAGAGGTTACACGCGTCGATCTCTATGGATTTTCTCTTCTGTATGCCTACGTAGATGCCACCTTAGAGAACTGCGCCTACTAGTTTGTTCTCTTCGGCTCTGTCAAGATGTCCCCACGTTTCCTATCGAATCGCAGCGTTTATTCAATTGCACTTTCACACAGTGTGTTTTAGTTCTATTCATTAGTAAAATATGCACCAATAAAATAACTATTTGTCGTAGTAAGCAATTAGGCAGTGATGGCAAGGCTCTACATTGTCTAAATCGGCGATCGCTTTATCTAATTGATGCCTGTCCAAAGATTTGACTCACTGACTGGCCGCAATAGTCAAATCTTTTCGCTTTCTCATTAGAGTAGCTCCAGGGAGCTTTCCTTCTCCTCAGAATTAGTGTTAGAAAGCGGATTGGATCTTGTAAGGCACCTTAAGAAAATAGGGATTAGAAAATTCAATTTTCCACTTATTCTAATAGTTAATAACTTTTGCCTAGGGCCCAATATATCCCTACTTGATTGTGTTGTTTTCAACTTAGGTCTACTGTCAAGTTCAAGGAATCCCTTATATGGAAAGCTGTCGTCGAATTCCTAAATATGGGTTCTTTAGCTTTCAGTACAGCATTCCTACATGAACTCAGGTTCAGCTACTGCTATTCATTCCACCCAACGTGCTCACTTGGCTTGCTCTTTAGATAGTTCCACGCAATTTCCGTTTCTTCTTTCAAGCTCATGTTTGTTCACTACTGAACCGTTATTATTGTTATCCATTCATCTTATGTTCACATGTACGAAAACTTCCGGTTAGTTTAGAAATCTGCTCATATTCTTGAAAGACGCCACTTTTAGTTTCCACCCAATCGCCCTACTCAGAGATTGCTCGATTTATTAAAGTATAGCTTTCAAGGGGATGCAATTTTTCGTTTCTACCCCAAAATTTTTAGAGGCTTTAATGGCATCTCATGCACAAGCAAATGAGACCGTTTATCCTGTTAAAGAGCATTGTGGGGGGGGGGATTTTCTTTCTTTTGTGGGTGGTGATGGTGTTGGGGGGGGGGGTTGTAAATTTCCAAGCAATTTGGAAAAAACCTACAAAATAAATCTTCATTAAATCAGATAGTTATTTAAATTGAGTGAATGAATGCGAATTATCAGCGTGATAAAAAAACCTGCCTTATTAATTGCTTGTCGATAATTTTTTACCTCAATGCCTCTAAATAGCTAGCTTTTAGGTTACTATATTGATGTCTTTCCACTCTCGACATATTCTCCAAAGAGGCAGCTCTAGCTTTGTGCGTATCATTAACGATGCCGGTGGTCTATTACCAACGTCCTATTGTTGCACCAATTTGAGTGGAAAAGGCTAGTTGGCGCTTCTTCCAAAAAGTAGGAATACCAGCGAGGGCGTTTTGCACTCAATATCACTGTTAACTTTAGAAATGAGAAGAACTTGGTCCTCTTGGACACTCAAGCCAATCTAAGCTGGAGGTATTGCTGGTTATTGGTACGCTATCGAAGATGAAATCGCACATGATGCTGACCTGCTTATCCTCATTTATGTCTGTGCGATTTTTTCGAAAGTTCTTTTTAGAGATCGAATATGGTTTTTCGACAGTGTATCGTTTTAAATGAAGTTTTAATGATTGACGTCTCATCCTTTTAAAGGGCTTGGTGCTCTAAGAGTGTTTATTTCTGTTGGAGAAATTCTCAGTGACAATAAGCTTAAGTTTTTCCCTTTTAACAGTGAATGCTTGTATTCTTGGCAGTACTTTCTTACTACCACACTTCACAAAGTGGAACAACTTCTTTTTTATAGCAGAATAAAGCGTGCTCCTAAAATTGACCATGTTATAAGACCCGCTTGTGCTACTGAGTTTATGGCAACTGCTTGTCAGGTTGACTCACTTCGATTGAACCGGTCCTATAGGCTGTGCACTGTGTTGACAGTGAATTTTTAGTCCTTTCTTAAAAAAAGACCGATTTATATATTAGTTCTGCTGATGAAACAAAAAGAAACAAGACATTAACTTCACTATATTATAAACCAATTTAAAAACAAATACTTGATAGGTAAACCTATAGGGCATGGGTACACTAAACAGATTTGTTCTTCTTCCCATAAAGTACAAAATATCAACCTCCTTGTCTATTACCTATTTGCGCCGATTTGATGTTATGCAATTCTTACCTTAAGTTATTTAACGTGTCTTGGAACATTGGGCAAAGTGAAGAGGCAGATTGTATCAGAACTTTTCTCTGGACAAATTTTACTCTAAAATAATACAGCCTACCATCTTATAAATTAAGAATGGTGAGGGTGTGCATAATTTATGGAGTTTAAGTCCATGAATTTCGCAGTTTTTTTGTGCTTAATAAAGATCAGAGAGAGAGAGAGAGAGAGATTCCAAAATAGCTACCTTCTGCTTAAGATGGTGTATAAGGATCCTGACTCTGAATAGACTTAAAGATTACATTTGAATACGACGTTAGGATACGAGATACGAATTCAAAGCAAATCCCTCACCTGTTCTGTGTTTTAAAAAGCATTTTACACAATTTGAATTTGAAGTATCGCTTTGTTTGCCCATTTATTGCATAGCACTTCCTTTACACGACCTTTGGACGCGAAATGTAAAAAAATGTCCATAGCGTCATAGGTTGTAAAGGCCAACTGGTGGGGGTTCCATTGTCCCCACGTTGTCAGGGGGGGGGGGACTTGTAATTGTTCTCGCTTTCATTGAGGCAATCATTTGGCACACAAGTGGTAAATTTCCCCCTATTCTGTAAATTACCCTCAAGAATCTACCGAAACCTCACCCCACAATAACAGCAACAGAATAGCTTTAAGTTTAAAGGTCAAAATTGTGAAACGAATTTTTCGAATTATTTGAAGAATGTTTGATTTATGTACCCGTCAACTTAATTAGATTTCATTCAAATAAGGAATACTGACTTGAGGAAACCATAGTAGCAACTCTAGAGTGTAGCCTAACAACTCCCGGTATTTTTATGACGGCTTGAGTGGGTAAACAACATCTGCTATAAATACGCTTATTATAGTTACTGCCCCTAGGTTTATTGCCTACTTTATATCTGCGAGTGTTTGTCAGGCCCCCTTTGCAAGCATTTTTGGAATTCAAACTAATTTCCTTGTTACTTTCTCCCCCATCTCTCGTGATTTAAGAGAAATCTACGCAAATACTAATATATCATTTCGATTGCACTGTGGGATACTTGTTTCATATGGCCAAAAACTGCGAGTGGACAAATTTCTATCTTATACATCACCAATCGAAATTAGGCCAGTGAAGGAGTGGAGAACAAGGATTAGGGAGGTGAGGAAAATGGAGGAGAGCGTGAGAGTGTTGGGGGTGGGGAGTGGGGGGGGGGG